CAAAGAAGTCATCAAGTCCCCTATCGTACTCCATTAACTTTGGTAAAACAAAGGATTTAAACCATCAGGATCTGGAGCTTTTAAAGACCCCATACTACATAGAGCATGCGTAATCTCTTGTTGAGTCGCTAAGTACCCCAAAGATTCAATTCTCACATCAGGAACTTTAGGATAAGACCCTCCAAAGTCAATCATCAGTATTTGGTCAATTCAGACGTATAGAGTTGTTGGAAGAATTTTGTACCTTCACAACAAAGCACTCCCTGATCATAACACCATTCCCCATTCATGTCCTGAAGAGCTTTAATGTTCTTCCTTCTTTTCCTACACTGGTAGCTGCATGAAAATATCTGGTGCTTTTATCTCCATGATGATACCGACTACATCGTGGGCGTTACACCCATATCAGCTCCTCTTATAAGAGGTATTTTTCAAGTTCGAGCCAAGTTGACTCCCTCTTCTTATTCCAGAAAGGACTATCTTGGCTAAGGATGTTTAGTTGATCTAACTGATTGAATAGATCCCTTTTCCATCTCTCAATATTCCCAAACACACTTCTATTCCAAACCTGGACCTCCTTCATAAAATTTTCTACATTCTCTTTCCACATGCAATCATTCTTCCAACTACGTTTGACAAAAGCCTCAAAGTCTTCATGCATCGTCTAGGGAGCAAGGAACCAAAAACTACCATAAGTTCTAATCTTGGGAGTCGTATCTTGGAGTTGTAGTAACATAGGACAATGATCCGACTTGAGTTTTGGTAGATGAAGAACCAAAGAAGAAGGAAAAACCTCAAACCAATCAGAATTAACAACAAAATGATCTAACCGGCTCTGAGAGTGCCCTCGCTGCCAAGTGAAACGCAGCCCCTGAAACTCCAACTTTGCCAAAGAACTATCAGTGAACCACTTCAGAAAGCCACGGTCAGGGCCAATGGTATCCGGAGAAGCGGAATGTCGATCATCACGTCATAGAACTATATTGAAATCTCCACCCACGCACCACCTGTGTGGGCACCATCCTCCTCTATACTTCGAAGCTCTGTCCACAACTCACGACGTCAGGCTAGATTGGGATGACCGTACACCACTGAAAGGTCCCAAGCCATTTCCTCACCAATATTAAAGGCACCATGTAGAACTTGAGAATGTCTCCAGGTCCTCACCCCATAGGCACCAAATACCCCCATTGTGTCCAACCGCTTCTACAACATCAACGTATTTAAATTGGAGATAGTGAGCAAGGGCCCAAGCTTTGTTGCTACTCTGACGTGTTTCCAACAAAGCCAAGAAACTAAAATTATAGTGGTTCTTTATCTCAAATAGCAACCTTCTAAAGGTCTTTGCGCCAACCCCCCTAGAATTCCATATGCATATTTTACTATCCATAAGAAACCAGAAACAAAAAAGGGGTAGATCAAGACAAGCCAAGAACTAGCACTATAAGTCCTTAGAGGAACCCCTGTTTCCCACGCTTGACCCATTTTGAACTGCAAACGATAGAGGGTTCGAATGCATAACCAGTACTGTACTTCCACTAGCTCCAGGATCAGGAGGGTTGTCTATCACGTCTATAGAAACTACTTCAGAAGCCCCGTGCTTTGGACCACTCCTACTATCTTCTTTTATTGAAAGTAAGGCTGTAGATTTTCCTGTCAACAATTTTTCCCCACCTGGTACATCTACTCTCTTTCCTTCGCTACAGCCCAATCCAAGCTTAGACTTGGCATTTACAAGCTGAGGCATTTCATTCAGAGACCTAGTTTGGTTCTTCGCTTTTGGCGTCCCTTCACCACCATTCGCTTTACTAGGAGGCCCAACAAACTTGCTATTCGAACCCTTTGTTTTTTAGCGCGGCCCAATCTTACTTTTCACGTTCGGCCTAGCTGTAGCCCCTTGAAAGCTCTCACGTAATAAATGCTCTTCAGGTATATTATTCAACGCAACTTGCGGCTTATTCTTCGCTCCCTCATTACCACCTTCCTCAACAGTCAAGCAAGAGAACTGAGATCCTTGCTCCTTCGTAACTGTGGTATCCCATGAAATTCGCCTGGCTTCTCCACCTTTCCCAGTTGGAGCTTCTAACAGCTTACCACGGCATGGCTGTTGAACAACCATCCATGGTTCATACCATCGCTCCGAGTCCAAAGTAGGGGTTGAATCGGCATGTACCTCAGGCTCAGCTACCATCGACTGTCGATCATTATTTTGAAACTTCTCTCACAATTCATCTACCTGTTCCTTCTATAACTCAACCTTCACCCTACTCTGACAATGGTCAGCATCGTGGCCATATTGTCCACAATGAAAGCAAATAAGATGAATGCCCTCATATTGCACTCTTTTAGCTTTACCATTTATCAAAACCAGTGGCCTCAAAGGAGCATTCAAATCTAGCTCCACACAGATTCTCACGAACTGACCCTTCTTGCGATTCATAGTATTCATATCTGTTTTCAGGACCTTCCCATCTGTGAGCTGAGTACATGTAAAATTCCTTTGTCATAGTAATCAAGAGGTAATTGGGCGATGCGAACCCAAGCCGCAATCTTGGTAATGGTTTCTTCCTCCAGATCAAACTCTGGTTTCCATGGTTGAATAGTAAGATAATGATCATAGATAAGCTAGGCCCCCTGGTAAGCACCAAGTCATAATCTTGGTCATTTGTGAAAGTTACAACAAAGAAACCTACCCCCACGTCAATCGGATCAACCTTTCCCTGCTGTGCCCACAGCTGACGGAGTTTAAACTCTAAGTACTTTGGATTAACCAAGCACTCCAGTAGTTTCACAATCAAAGCTCTCTGCCATCGTTTCGCTAGCTGTTCCTTCTTGTGTTTTGGGATGATAATGTTCGGCCCCTTCTCCATCATCACCACTTGAATACGATCCTTCCATCGATCATTGCTCCATTAGTCCTCCTCCTTTTCCTGTTCATCCTTCTCTTTTGTAACAGCATGTTTGAAGGATTTCCACTTCAACCCTGATGTTGCACCTTCCCCTGTATTCTTGCCCTCCTCCCTACCACCAACCTGTTCCGCCGTCTCCTGGGTACCTTTTGCACCAGGCTCAGGAGAAGCATCATGCATCCAATCCTCAATCCTAGGTCAAAGAACCTGGTAATCAGAGAACTCGCCCTCTCCCGACCTGACCTTTTTCCTACTTCGAAGCAGAGCATCACGTTCTTCCGACGTCGACATCGGATTTCCTTGCTCCCTCGACCGCTCTCGCTCTCGCTCTCTCATTTTTGAGCTTTTTCGTTTAATTTCCATTCTTCTTCTTTAAAAAAAAAGCCCTTTTTTTAACTTGACAAAAAAAAAAGGTTGACTTCTACCCCCACGCTTTCATTTTATTTTAATTCCAGTCTCCCATTAACCTTGATTGAACCACCACGGATCCCCCTCTACCTCCATTAGTCAATTCACACCTCTCAGTCAATTATCTATATCCAGATTCTTCTGGCTTTATAACAATCCAAACCCCGACCGTTTATTTTTAATTAACATTATTTTTGGTTATTAATATAAAAAGTCGTTTAACTTTTATTTTGATCTTAAATATAATACCTTAATTTACTTTTTCTTCTATATTTATCTATTCTTTTTCAAAGTGGTTATTATAATAATAGTAGTTTTAGCCAAATATACTTGATTAGTAAAGATATTTTAAAAAAGATAACACCTATTGATTACAAATAACTAACTTAACTAGTGTTATTAATTTATTCAAATTAGTCAATTAGTTTTTTTGTATTGGGAACTAGAGTTAGTACCCATTTATGCTTGGACCTTCACATCTCCCCTCACCCATGGTTTCTTTTTTGGGTTAATTCGAATAATCCACTACCTTTTACTCTTCTTGTTATTAATATAAGATCTAATTAATGAATTAAATAGTTAATGTTAATTATATATGTGAAACCTATATTATATGTTTGCTAATTTTATTCTAAATAAATTCCATTGATATTCTCTCAATAATAATTAAGTAAGAGAGAAAAGAAGAGAATTAAAGAAAATGCTTATAATATTTTCAAAAAACATATTATATTAATTAATTTAATTAATATTATTAATTTACTTAAATTAGTAAATTAAATACTAATAGAAAGAAGTATTTCTACCATGTAACTCACGCCTAGCCACTGCACCCTTCGTAAATGTTCCAACTCACAATTAACCTCCCCCTTTCTTAAAAGAATTGAGAAAAGTGTTTAGTGTTAGCAGGTTGTAAGTCGCCAACAAAATAATCCCTTACTATCTCCATTGATTTTTCGACTTCAGCTTCCTTCTTTCTTTCCTCTTCTTGTTTTTTTTCCCCCTCCCCCATCCACACTCGCTATAATATTCAGCAACCTTTTTTTGATTCGTCACGGCATCCACGTGTTCCCTCGTTCCCTTTCCATTCATCCGCATCTATCGTCACTTCACGCGATTCTCTTTCCAACTCACGTTCTTATCCCCATCATTAAGCTCCTCAGCTGTACCCACTTCTTCTCAGTTCGTCTCCTCCATTGAAGTCGTCGCCATTGATGGGATTCATTGCAAGCTTGATCACGCTCTTGAAGAAAGCTAGGGCTAAGCATCGACAACTTCTAGGAGAGTGCGATGGATGGCTACAGTCCAATGCATTCAAGGGTATGTCTCTTTCCTACTTTAATTTCCCATTCAATTCAATACAAGGCCAAACAGTCTTACTTTTTTGTTTTTTCCTGGCCTATCATGGCCATTCAAAATAACCATTTATTTTTATAATTTTATTAATTGTCTCATTATCCATTTTTCCAGTCCCCTACGGCTGGCACCCATTGTTAATCAGGTCAAGTGTAATGTTCAGTGCTTTGTTCTTTTGCGTAGACTTGAGCGTTTACCATCGCGGGCGGCTTCCAGGAAACTACTACCGTTCATGGCAATTACAGGTGCTAATCTTCTTTTTATTTCTATTTTGGCTCTGTCGAATTTACCTCCATGAGGACCAAACTTCGTCTTCTTCGTCCAAACATGGGCTTCAATCATACGACTTCTGTGTCGTCATGGACCATCTTCTTCCTCTGTTTTCCCCTGCTTTACGCTTCCACACTTGCTTCTTTTTACACCCCCGATGATCTTTTAAGCATTAACTGTGGCAGCTCCGGCAGCTCCACCAGCTCCACGGGAAATGGTCGGACATGGACCGGAGACAACGATTCAAAGTTCTTATCCAAACAAGACGAATCTGTTCCAGCTGCGGCACTTACTCAATCTCCTTCTGCCGCGCAAGTCCCCTACACCACAGCTCGTATCTCTCGCTCTCAGTTCTCATATTCATTCCCTGTCTCTCCCGGCCAGAAATTCCTTCGTCTCTTCCTCTACCCAGCTTCGTACCCGGGTTTTGATCGTTTCGATGCTTTCTTCACTGTCAAATCTGGTGGGTTCACACTCCTTAAGGATTTCAATGCTTCGGTCAGGGCCGATGCTCACGGGGAAGATACCATCCTCATAGAGTATTGCGTCAACGTCGGCGATGGCGAGAGGCTCAACTTAACTTTCACTCCCAATTCAACCCGCCCAGATTCTTATGCGTTTGTTAATGGAATTGAGATTGTCTCCATGCCTCAGGATCTCTATTACACCAAACCCAACGACTTAGGATTCAAATTAATTGGTTCGGTGGGTGGGTTTATCATCTCCGACAGCGTTGCTCTTCAGACAGAGTACAGGCTAAACGTCGGGTCCGGACATATCTCAGCTACGAAAGACACGGGAATGCTTCGATCTTGGGACGCCGATGACAGTTTCCTTGTTCAAACATTTGCTCTACCTGCTGATTTTGAAGGTGAAAGAAGACCTCTGATGTTCACTAAAGTTCCTAATTACACAGCACCTGAGGAACTCTATCGAACAGAACGCGATATGGGAATGAACAAGACTTTGAACATGAACACTAACCTTACTTGGGAGTTTCCTGTCGATTCAGGCTTTACCTACATGCTGAGACTCCATTTTTGTGAGCTTAATCCAGATATCAACATTTCCTACAACAGGATATTTGATATTTACATAGCCGACCAGTTAGCTGAGCATGGTGCGAATGTCTTAAATTGGGCAGAGGGAAAAGCAGTTCCGGTATATAAAGACCATGCCGTGATCATTTCAGGTGATGCAAAACCAGCTTCTCTTTCACTCAAAATGCATCCTGAACCCCCACCGGAATTTGACTACGGTGACGCATTCTTGAATGGACTCGAGATTTTCAAGATCAGTGATTCACAGAATAATCTCGCCGGACCTAACCCTGATCCTCCTCCACCTCGTCCCAATCCTAATGATCTACCCCAACAGCAAGCAAGAAAAAACAGAAGCAAGATTGTAATCGGGGTCATTGTGGGTGTTTCAGCTTCCATCGTCATTTTGATTTCCAGCATCGCATTCTTCCTCATCGCTCGTGGGAAGAACATCAAGTCGAGTGATGGAACTTGTAAGTGTATTACTAATGGCTCAGCTGTGCCGACGGAACTGTGCCATCGCTTTTCCATTGCTGAGGTCAGAGCCGCTACCAACAACTTCGATGAACTCTTCATCATCGGCGTCGGAGGATTCGGCAACGTCTACAAAGGTTACATTAAAGACGGTCAAACTCCGGTCGCAATCAAACGACTCAAACAAGGGTCGCAACAAGGGCTCCATGAGTTCCGAACAGAGATTGAGATGTTGTCCCAACTTCGTCACAATCACTTAGTATCTCTCATTGGCTACTGCAACGATGGCAACGAAATGATCCTCGTCTACGAGTTCATGGCTCGTGGGACCCTCCGTGACCATCTTTACAATTCTAACAACCACCCCCTTTCCTGGAAACAGAGGCTGAAAATTTGCCGGAGTGCAGCGCAAGGACTACATTATCTTCATGCAGGCGCGATACGAAATATCATTCATCGCGACGTGAAGACGACGAACATTTTACTTGACGAAAAATGGGTGGCTAAGTTTTCTGACTTTGGATTATCAAAAATAGGACCCACAGGAATGTCCAGGTCTCATATTACCACTGTGGTGAAAGGAAGCATTGGTTATTTGGATCCAGAATACTATAAACGCCAAAGGTTGACTCTAAAGTCTGATGTTTATTCGTTTGGCGTGGTATTACTCGAAGTATTATGTGGGAGGCCACCTTTCTTACGGACTGTGGAGAAGGAGAAGGCAAGCTTAGTAGAATGGGTCAGAAAATGCCATCATGAGGGTGTGATTTGTGAAACTGTTGATTCGTTCATAACAAAAAGTATCAGACCAGAGAGCCTTAAAGCATTCAGCGACATGGCGTTAAAATGTTTGGAAGATGACCCAAATGAACGACCATCGATGAGTGAAGTTGAGTGGCGCCTAGAATATGCGTTGCAGCTACAAGAAAGTGCAGAGGAAACTGAAGAGGAAGGAAAACGTGAGGAAGAAATGGCTCTGTTAACAGAAGTTAGTGATGTGGAAGAAAGTAATGAAGTTGGTTTCAATGAGTAGAAATCAGTTTTGCTCTCTGGAGTGATGTTAACGCTCAAGTTTGATCGAAATATATGTGACAGAGGAAAGACAAATGGTATTGAATTACGCTGCCCACAATAAATTGTGATTTTTTTTTTCATAAAGCAATAGTTGTTATTTTTGTCATTTTTAAAATTGCACCCTTATTAAATTGACAAAGGCATTGATTCCTTTATATTTCGTTTGACCATATAAAATTGGTATATTCTTTATTTTACATGATAAATTATTACATGGGAAATAAAAAAAATTATGAATTACTAAATTATTTCCTAACTTAATTTAATGATAAATTAATAATCTCCCATAGTCATATACTGGACTCAAAATTGTCAACTGATGAGAATCTATCTTCAATTCATTATAATACGCATGAAGCGTATGTGTGTAATAGTTACATGGAAGAATAATGCGTGTGATAATATTAACATAGGGAAAACATGTTTTACTGAAGCAACGGTGCAAAATTATTTGAAAAAGCTTGAAATAGTAAATTTCTTAGTCTCGAAAGTTCTCCCGATTTTTGATTGGTTCTCAGAGATTTGTTTTAGCTCGATTTATACTGCTTTTGACTAGTCTCCTCTCATTTACTGTGGCTTGATTCATCTTTGACGTGTTAATTAAATAAGTCGTTCAAAATGCTTCATACTATCTATGTCTTAATTAACACACCGTGGAAAAATACTAACAAGTTAGTTAATCTTTGGAGCAAAATATGAAACACATTTAACACGATTCACTACAAAAAAAATGTATTTTGTAGCAATTAAAATAAGACATTTTTAGCAGTTTTAATCGCAACAAATAAGATTTGTAGTGGTTACAAAAACCGCTAGAAAATCAAGTGCAAGAAAAAATTTCTAACGGTTATGGCAACCGCTACATAGTATGGTTAAAACATCAGAAACTTTCTAGCGGTTAATTAACCTCTAGAAAAATTCAGTAGTAGGAGACCAAATTTCTAGCGGACAGAAACCGTTAGAAAAAGCAAAAAATTTTGTAGCGGTTATATAACCGTTAGAAAGTTTTGAACCAAAACATTTCCAGCAGTTTGAACCGCTAGAAATTTGGCACAAAATTTAAATTTCACGAAATTTGTCCCACTATTTTTTTATTTCTAGCGGTTTTGAACCGTTAGAAATGTTTTTCCAGGCACAAAAATTTTTTTGTGGTTTTTTATTATTAAAAAATATAATATTATAAATTTAAAAACCATTAAATAGATTGTATTGGAGAATTTTTGTTAATTTGTATAATTAATTATGTATTACTTTTTATATATTTGAATTTTGTAATAAACAATATGTAATTAAATTATGAGAATGTCAAAAGAAGTGAATTTAATTTAATAAGATAATTGAATTGAAGATTTAATAAGATAGTTGAATTGAAGATGAGATAGTTTGTAATACTGAACTTAAACTGTTATGTTGAAAAGTATTTAGATCAGTTGAGGAGGGCATGACAAGTGTGAAGAAGAAAAATCTGAAAGAAAAAGGAAAATAAATATGTTGGTAAATTATAAGTAAAGACAAATAAAAGATATGAGGACTTATAAAATAAAATTCACTTACCATATAGTGAAGAGAAAGAAACCACCATATGAGAGAGTAAGAAAAAAAGAGAAAATTATGAGGAAGAATAGGAGAGGAAAGAAAAGAGATGGGGTAAATAAATGTAGAGGTGATATGATATTTATAAAGATTAACGACACATTTGTAGCAGTTTTTTTGTAGCATTTTGGTGCATTTTGTAGCTGCTTGTCCATTTTCTAGCGTATAAGTAACCGCTAGTATATGTAGCGGTGTAAATTTGTAGCGGTTACCCAACCGCTACAAATTATAATTTTTTATTTTTTAAAAAACTAAACTAATTTTAATTTATACATATGTATTTATGGAAGGAAAATTTTTTTTAATAATAAAAATTTTTGATGCTGCTATTCTTCATCATCATCCAGCCTGAAAGGACATATTTAAAAAAATTATGTTAGAATTATAATGTATTTAGAATAAATTAGTAATTAGTAGTTAATTATTTAAATAATTTAAGAAAAGACGTATACCTGATAATTGGCAAATTATCTTCTCCTTGAGGAAAGAAGTCTTCAAAATTTGAGTGTTGGAAGGGTTATGTCACCATCACCCATATAAAGATTGGCTTGAGGTAAACGACCATATTCCAGTCTTTATGTTTCTCGTCCTCGACATAGTAAACCCGGTGTGCCTCAGAAGCAAGGATATATGGCTCATCATCTTCAGATGCCCCCGTATGAATAAGTCTAGAAAAATTAACTAAGGTGATGCCTAAGTAGTCAGTAGCGAGTCCCCGTGAAGTTGTCATATTTGCCCAGGAGTACTTGAACAGTGTCATGGTGAAAAGCTGGTAACTCAACTCAATAATGTCAATTAGCTTTCTATAGTAAGTGAAGCCTCCAAAGTGCATATCGCCATCACTACTGCTAGCATAACATCTCGTCCCGAATATCCCGCAAACTCCAGAGTTTTGTGTGAGCAATCCCTGATCATGTCCAACCGTACAGAACTTGAAGCCATTGACATTATACGTGGTAAACCTTCGTGCATGGTCTAACGGACTGAGGGAAAGAGCTTTGAATTCATCTGTGTATGGGTTATTGTCATTACGTATTTGACGTGTAAACTAACTGGGAAACTCTTTGTGGAATCTTTTATCAATGTCAGCAGAACGCGCACGCCCATGTAGCTGACACTTGAGGTAACTTCTAAACTCACTACAGTAAAGTGTAATTTGTTAAAAAAGTCAGTGAGAAACAAATATAAAGTGTAAAAACTAGTGAGCTTATATGATATACTTACTGCATGAAGGGTTCAACTTGGCTGCAATTTATCAAAACGTGTTTGTGTGCCTGGAGTTTCTCTATAGGAGTGAGTCTGAAGAATTCATATCATCCAACATGACACAGGCGGTTAAAAGATGTCTCCATGTCGTCAAAGTACCTTGAACAGAAAGTTAGGACCTCATCTCCAGAATAACCTTCTGCTATTGACCCCTTAAGCCACGCCTTATTCCTAACATATGATTTTAATTTTCCCAAGTACCTGTAAGTTAATATTGCATTAATAATTGCGAGCAAATGAAACAACAATGTGAAATTTAAAGAGACAGGGATAAAAGATAATCTAGTACCTCTATATAGGGTATATCCATCAATAGTGAACTAGGCCAGCAACCTTTGCTTCTCGAACAAGGTGGACAGTTAAGTGAACCATAACAATGAAGAATGATGGAGGAAATATCATCTCCAAGTGACAAAGTGTAAGAATAATTTTATTTTGCAGCTGATCAAGCTCTTCCGCTATCAAGACCTTCGCACACAACTTCTTGAAAAATGAACACAATTCCACCAAAACAACTGATGCATCGGAAGGAAGTGTGTTTTTCAAGGCCAATGGAAGTAATTGTTGCATAAGAACATGGGAGTCATGACTTTTTAAACCAGTAACCTTTCAAGCCTGCAGATCGATATATCTTGAGATGTTGCTAGAATATCCATCTGGTACTTTTATGTTCTTCAACGTCGAGAGGAAGATATCCTTGTTCTGCTTCGTCAAGGTGAATTTAGTTGGTTGAAACTTGTCGTTTTCATCAGGCCAAGCCTCTTCACGAATTCTCCAGGCCTGTAAATCTTTTCTAGCTGCGAGATGGTTTTTGGAGTTTCTAGCTTCGTTGAGCAACGTATATAGCACATTATCGCACACATTTTTTTCAATGTGCATAACATCCAAACTGTGTCGTAGCAAATTAGATTCCCAATAAGGAAGAGTGAAAAATATGCTTCTCTTCCGCCATTGCATATGTTGCGTATCAAATGTCCCACGAGATCGTCGTCCCAATCGTTCGGGATCCACACTCTTACCAAACTCGACATTAACATCTTCTAACTGCCGCAAAATATCCACACTAGATAAAGCAACAAGAGGATCTCTCTTCTCCTATTTCCCATCAAAGCAAATCCGTTGCAATCTAAGTCTGTGCTTGGAATCGAAGAACTGTCGATGTCCTATGAAGCACCACTTGCGACTGTGGGGAAGGCGACATGGCACGGAATCAAAATTACACTTAGGACAGGCCAACCCAGTATGCACGTTCCAGCCGGACAAAGTTCCCAAACCGGGAAAATGACTTATTGTCCACATTAAGGCTGCACTGAGATTGAATAGTCGTTTGTCATATGAGTCATATGCCTCAACACCATTCGTCCACAGGTCAATCAATTCGTGTATCAACGGTTGCAGGTATACGTCTATATCATTTCCTGGTGCTTTCTTGCCAAGAATGATCATGGAAAGCAAAAAGGAGCTCTACTTCATGCACATCCAAGGGGGTAGATTGTATAGAATTAACACCATCAGCCAGATACTGTAACTTGTGCTCATGTTTCTGAAGAGATTAAAACCATCGGTTGCCAACGCAAGACGTACATTTCTAGGATCACTGGCAAAGTCTGGAAATTTCGCATCAAATGCTTTCCACGCCTCCAAATCTCGTGGGTGCCTTAACCTGCCATCTGGATTTTTCTCAGTCGTATGCCACCTCATGTGCTGAGCCATTTTTGATGACATATACATTCTTTGCAACCGTGATTTCAAAGGAAAGTATCTAAGACAATAATGTATTAAAAATTTCAAATACTGAATATTTAAAGATTGAACAAGTAACACATCATAATCAATTGTACTGAGAATTTCAAATATCGAATATTTAGAGACGGAACAAGTAGCACATTGTAATAAATTGTACCTGAGAATTTTGGCTAGTTTTCTTCTTTTGCTTTTTCCCCTTCCGTACCGACTCATAGCATGACGTCTTGCATCTCGTACAAATCTCCTTGTTTGCATCATCTCCCCAGTATAACATACAGTCGTTTGGGCATGCATCTATCTTCTTGTAGTTCAAGCCAAGGTTACTAATAATCTTCTTTGCTTCATAAAAAGATGGAGGGGATTCAGCTTAGGGGAAAGCATCTCCCAGTAATTCCAACAACATGGACATCACCTTGTCAGTCATACCACACAAGCATTTGATAT